TGGATGATATGCAGCTAGAATAATAGCAAATGCATCATCATGTCCAGGATCACAATCAAGCCAAATAGGTTTTTTTCTTATATCAACCATGAGAAGAAATAAAATGTTTCGTTTTTCATATGAATGAATCAAAAAGAAAGGATTGTATTACAAATCATTCTCTCTATTCTAGATAAGTGTGCGAAAAAAAAGGTAAATATAGAAATATGTTTACAAATAAACATTATGACGAATAAAGATCGTTATGATTAGTTTTTCCTTGCTATACGATTTTTTTCATTAGTGTAGTCCTTGACAATAAGTTTTTCTTTTTCTCTTCAATTTTGTGACAATCATATAAGGACATTTTCGAAGTATTACAAATGTCGGGACGCGATGAATTATATAAGTAAAATATGATTGTTAAGACACAGTAACAACACTGATCTTCTAGTTCATAACACATATCAATAAAATAAGATGATTGTGATAGAAGTGAACATTGGTAAACTAAAATATTGAATGACAATGTTAAAACGATCAAAAAAGTTGTGTTTCCTGTTTCAGAATTGTTTCTATTTTGAACGCTAAATAAAATAAAAACAGCTTGAGTTGTTAATGCTACATGAAGTCAGTAATTCAAAAGTAACGTTTCGAAAATGTTATACATGACAAAGGCGAATAGTATTATTGGCATGTACACTATATGTTTTGAATGTAAATTTTGGAATGTGATGAGAAATCAAAACAAATTTACTAATAATCATCAGTTTGTACCGATTTCAATTGAGAGGAACAGAAGAAATACAGTCGAATAGTATTTTCATAGAACAAGACAAATTGATTAATTCAAAAATCGTTTCTGAATCCGATTGTCATTAATACCAAGTATGAAAAAGTTCTTTTGTCCTCAATCTATCAATTTCATCTATTCTATGTAAATCTTCTATTCTCTGATGAGTAATACACAATCATAACAACAAAGGATAGTTTATAATGACATAAAAATCATTTTATGGAAGAAAAAATAATTGTCCTGCAATCTTTGAACTGAATAAACTGGTTTCTTTTCATAGCTAGTAAAACGACATTGAAAATTTTAGATCAAAAATGTCCTTAAATTACATATTGACTTCAAGAAAAAAACACTGTATTTCATAGAGCTCTTAAAACTTTAATCATCACTAATTGATTCCTGTTTCAAAATGTTTTTGATTAGTAATAGCTATGAAAAAATAGATGACTTTGTTAATGACACAAACAAAAATTAAGTTTGATATATGATATACTTTATTAATAAATAAATTGGAAAAAATTTTAAAAAGCAGCGGCGAATAATTTCCAGTTAAGAGTACAATCTTTATTATCAGTTTGTTTTTTTTTCTTCTGCCCATAAAAAACAATACGAGACTTAATTATTAACTATCTGAACATGTATAAGGTTTATACAATCGTTTATTTCCATCATAATATACAGCAGGCACTACTCACATTTTTCTGAAGTATTTCATTTTTTGTTTATTCACAATAGAATTCGATCTTTTAAATAAATTACGTCATTTATTAATGACTTCAATATATTGTATAAGTATATGGATATACAGATTGGACCATGAAGATCTTTACGATAAAGAATTTGAATATCTCCACTAGAACTCGTCGGACCTGGGCCCACTCAGGTTCTGATCCGAAGATTTTGAGTCCGAAGGGCTATAGTCTCCACTCTGGTCGAAGGTATTGAGCTAACTTTTTTATCAATAATAGAGGAGTGTTCAAAGTTTTTCCTAAAAACATCTCTAATGAACACTGCTTTCAATTGTCAACCTTCACTTCGATATCGTACTATAATATTTTATACTGATATCAAATAATATAAACAAATTCCTTTGTGTATTGATTTCTTTTCCGACACCTATACTCGATCATCTCTTTCTTTCTATGATTCGGAATTCATTTTTCTTCTATATCAGTCATATCACATGTACAGCTTTCTAATAGTGAACTGGATATGGGTCTTCTATTTCCTGATATCAAACATCCCACTCATATGGACATCATTTTGAGCATTTGCATTGATGTGTTCTACAGGTTTTGTATGTATCTTTTTATGACAAAAAAAAAACTTTGAACACTCCTCTATTATTGATGAAAAAATCAGCCGAATACTTTCAAATGGAGTAAAGATATTAATGATCCACATAGTATCAAATGTTGTCTTACACATAAAATAAGTGATGTTTTCAAATATTAAAAAAGTTATTATTTCTGTTATAAAAGGTTTATGTTAGATTTATGCTAACTTTAAATGTATATAAATACAATTTCAATGAGATACATAGTTTATTTTTGAATTCCTTAACTCAGTATTGATTTCATTTCTCAATCATTTTTATCTCTTGATAATTCATTTAAAAAATAACAGAAATAAAAAAATAACAGTGAATAATTATTAATTTGATTTTGTTGAATTCACTGGGCTTTTCTTATCTGCCAATTCAATAGCATCTAACATCATATTCCAAAATTGTTCAACTTCTTTAATTTTCATAACTACAAAACAATTTTTTTCTTTTCGATGTTTATCAAATACATCACAAACACTTCTTCCTCGACAAAATTCACTTGTTCGTTCAATATCAACATGCATCATTTGTCCTTCAAATAAATCTTTATCAGCTACATATGCGATTGCGCAAGGATCATGTAACGGTGGTGAATCAAAATGATATATTTGTTTATAAGTTGAAGCAAAAAAATGAAGTAAATGATCAAGAATTGATGAAAATGGACTAGCTAATGAACGTAAACGTTCACTAACATTTGGAGTTGCACAAACAGTGTGTGTTAATTCTAATGGAACCATAACAAGACGTGGAACATGAGGAGATGTAAATACAATATGAGCTGCATCAGGATCATTCATAAAATTAAATTCTGAACCAGGTTGCATATTTCCAATACCAATACAACCACCCATAAGAACAATTTCTGATAATGAATTCTTTATCTAAATTTAAGAAAAAAACAAATGAAAACAAAAACATTTCGCTTGAAAATAAAATACTTGAGGAAAAACTTTCAATAACAAAGCAATATTAGTTAATTGGCCAGTAGCAATCAACGTTACTGGTCTTCCAACACTAATGATCTTTTGATAAATATTCCATAGATAATTTTCATCTTGTTGTTTGATTAATGTTTTATATTCTGGATGTTCTGGAATATCAGCTCCATCTAAACCAGTTTGTCCATGAATTTCTGGACATGTCACAACATGTTGGCAAAGTGATTCTCCACAACCTGGTATTATTGGAATATTATTTGAAAGACCAGCTATATAAGCAACTTTATATGCATTTTGTGTTGTTCTATCAAGTGTTTGATTTCCAACAACAGTTGAAATACCAATTAATTCAAGTGATGGATGATATGCAGCTAGAATAATAGCAAATGCATCATCATGTCCAGGATCACAATCAAGCCAAATAGGTTTTTTTCTTATATCAACCATGAGAAGAAATAAAATGTTTCGTTTTTCATATGAATGAATCAAAAAGAAAGGATTGTATTACAAATCATTCTCTCTAT